AAGCATAATTCTTTCAGCGTAGGCGGTAGTAATTTCTTGACAAAATATCGTGTTTCAACAATTTCTGATTCATAAACATACACGCAGAGATATTTGACGGTGATTTGTTGCAACATTCGACATTCCTGATATAATGGTTTACTGCTCAGTGACAGAAGTGAGGGCGGTAATGTCAGTTTGCACAAACATCTCAAATTACCTTAAAATTAAATTGCACTGATTAACTTTTAGTTATTCGTGCATAATTGTTAATTGTGTGCAATGCTTGGTAATATTTAGCATTGCACATGCAAACTATCAAAATATGCAAGATTTAATTGAACGGTGTTTACGAGATGAGGAAGTCAGTTGGATTACGGCAGGTGTATACCTGTTAACACCGGTTCTCCTCCTCTCACTATTATCAGTTTGATAACTGACATGCATTATTTAATTCTAACTTACACAGCGCTTTCAGATATATTGCGCCATCGGGTGTATGTACAAGCGCACCCATAAGGCATAAATATTTTAATGAATTTGAATATTTCTCGGAGATCGTTTCCATAGCCGCTGCGGTTAACGACACGCCCTGTACAGTTATTTCTGTCACCTACTTCAATTTTACTTTCCTACATTTACTTGCAAGTTATCACATCATTCACGGAACTTTCCTTCAGTTTTATTTTTTTGATGACTTTTAAGTCTTTTAAAATTTAAAAAATATGAATTTCACAATCTTCTGTAACCTGTAACTTTAACATTTTAATAGCATTTGCTTTCAAATTTTCTGCATGTTCCTCATGCATTATATTCATTGCTTTGCGCGGAGTGTCGAATCGTTTCAAAATGCGCAATACGACTAATTTCTCAAGTGAAAATATTGCTTTGATTTTGTCATCCAAGTTCGATTCCCTGCAGGGGAAAAGCCGATTAATTAAATACTACTGTAAGACATAGCATAAGAATTGTCAGCAGACTGATGGTAATGAAGGAAAGTGAAGCAACTGTTGGTGATTTGGCCACTGAATCGGTATATGATGATTCAGTGGTTGACATTGTGAACTGGATCATTGTTATCAGACTAGTAATTGTGTTAACATCCAAAAAATACAATTTCATTGATTAATTTGAGGTAACAAATGATTTAAAGTAGTCAAATGATTTAATTACAAATTAATCCGGATTTTAAGCTTTTACTTATAAAAATGTCACACGGTAAAGTAAATACAGCTATCTTGGAATTAATTGTAGCTTGCAGAGTATTATTATGTACATCAAAAAAAAAAAAAAAATGCTAGAGATATACCCTCGATGAAGCAACGTATTCATCACTTTTTATTTAAAGCTTGCAAATTTTAAACTTATTTTTTATATATAATATTTTTTAAATTTTAAATTCATGTTTCATATTTGGAATTATTTAAAGTCGTTTATATTTTCCGTTTGATCGAATTTAGGAACAAGTTCACCTAACCTCTGCCCTTGTCCAGTAAACGGTTTAGATTTAACTACATATGCTTCACGTCGACGTTCCATTCGAATATCCGGGTGTTACCGTATTAATTCGATTGGGATGCGCCCTTCTCTAACCGACTGCAAAAACGGATGATTTAGCTGTCGCTATAGGGTCGAAGTGAACCATCATTTACAGTAAATCCAATTTCCCACATGACAACTGCCACTTCTTGTATTTCAGGAGGTTCCGTCGACTGAAGCAGATCAGACTGCTCTGTCCATCTGGCATATTATAGCCTTTCTTCCTTGGAGCAAGCTTTATTGCATCATGAGTTCTTGGTCTGAGATTCTCTTCGTGTGTCAGATGCAATAAACTATAAAAATGTCTATTGATAGCTTTCTCTGAGCGCAAGCTGCTCGAATGTTTCCGCAATCGTTTCATCTTTCGCTCCAATCTCTTTTCGGCTTAATAACTCTCAGTTTGCTTTCGCTAATTTATATTTATTATACGTATGGGAATAATGGGAACAACGTTAACAAGATCAGATTATTCAAGATCAGATCTGGAAAAATCAATAACTGTACGTGCGTGACGTGTTGTTGTTATATGTGCCTTCCCTTGAATGAATTTGTTTCAAGTGTTATTAAACTGGAATTAAATTATGGTTCTGTACTGGGAAAACGAACATGTTCTAGATGAAAAAAAAATGAAAAATTAGTATGGAAGTGTCGTTCGAAATGTAGGTCATGCACAGAATAAGTAACAGTGGATGGAGAAGAGAGATATTGCCCCAGTTTCTTCTTTTTTCCTCTTTTTAGTTGTTTTA